CAAAAAAGATTTTGGCATCCTTCTTGCTTCATACATATACTAAGAAATATCAGCGAAAAGCATCCTGAAGTGTGATGTGGAACCTAAAAATATTTTGAAGCAATATTTTAATAAAAATAAACATGCAATTAATTTTAACAAACAGCAAAAATCTTGTAGAGCATTGTTACTTGATAATGTTGAACGACTAGCTTCAATAGCAGATTCACAGATCAAATCTATCCGCCTGTCTTTTTTTAATCTAAACTTTGATTTTGCAAGATCTCTCCAGCCTCCATCAAGAACAGAAAAATCCATAATCCATGGCATGACATTCATCTGTCTTACAACAAGCTGCAAAGATTTAAAAATCACATAAAAGTCATAGAGTTGTATATAGATTATCTGAACCACTTTCAGCTGTATACTTCAACGAACCGGCACATAAATTTTTTTATTTTTTATTTATGGAAGCACTTCACCTTTTAGAATAACAAGATTTAATATTGAATCATGCACCAGACTTTTACCCCATTTTTTTTTCTTTTCACAAATCCAGTAGTATTCTAACCGAGTATGTAATGAAAGTAATTAGCAAAGCACTACATTCCATATAGAATGTAGCAGTAAAACCCCTTTTTCTTCACCTAAAATTCTATTTCGTTCATTTATTAGTATAAACCCCTACACTTTAACATAGATATCAAACTCCCTTAGTCACATTAAGAAATTTTACAGCTGAATAAATAAATACAAAAAATTTTTGGTATAAATCGAAACAACAAAACTTTCAGATTTTTCAGCATATCCAATTAATAAGTGCATGCTTAATCATTTTAGAAAATGAGTAAAATATTATTTGAGGGAAAATGGCTAATGTGATAAAATCACAAAAGATAGAGGGGAAAAAAACCACACCTTCAGCAAGGATCTTCTACACTGTCTAAAACTCTTCACAGACTCAAGTCAGAAAATAAATAACCTGCCAAAATATAACATAACCAGATTAAAATTGTGAATGTTGACTACAGATTAACTTAATTTTATAACAGTTTTAATTTGTTAAAAGAGAACGTTGAAGTAAAGATAAAAGAAAAGCATTTTTTAAACTACAGAAAATGTTAAATAATTTATTTTTACACTATTTTTTATGCCTTATATTTTATTTTATTCAGTTCTCACATCTAGCATGATTATAGAATGAAATGTTACTTACTTATCCTCTACGTGCCTTGGGCACTTAAGGCCTCCAGCATATCCCTCCAACGCCCCCTGTCTTTAGCAATAGATCTTGCTTCCTCCCAGCCAGATATTCCACATTATTTTAATTCGCCCCAAAACATGCGCTGGATGGTAAGTCTGGGTCTTCCTAGAATGAAACGTAACTGCAATTAATTGTGCTCTTTAAAGCTACAACTTTAATTATCAGTGACTCAAACCAATTGTCAACATTTTTCAATAATAATCATGAATATTTTTAGCAGTTATTTAATAAATATACATTTTGACAAATCTAATATTTTTTTAAAATATTGCTCAATGATATACACTACAAAAAAGACATAAAAATAGGAGTCTTAAATTTTCATTTTGTATTTAAAATAATTTAAAAGAAAGAAGATTCAGTTACCAGAACAATCATTCAACTACTCAAATGACAAAGTTAGGAAAAAGTAAAAATAAGCAATATTTTCTCATTTCTTTGAATTGACAAGGCATAGATATTCTTCATGATATGAGTCATTTGTTACATAAGGAATGGTTGTTTTTAAATATTTTCAGAAATCATTAATATATAACCTCGATTCAATAATATACAATAATTAATAAATACACCATCTCAATAATGTGAAATGTTATTTTCTAAAACCAGCACAAACAAATTTTAAAAAATTAAAAATTCACAAAATAAAAATAATCGCAACACAAAATCCGCAAAATAAAACACTTAAAATATACTTTTGAGTTTTCGCTTCTGTAGATAAAAGAATCTATTCGTGTGTTTGCCACTTAGCAAAAAGATACAATGCACAGAGTGCATTTGAATAAATAGTTTGAGGTAACCTGTGAATTCTTTCAGTCATAGGAAAGAATCGCAATAAGAATAAATGTGCATGCCTGGCTCAATAATGTTTTTTATTGTGATCTTTCAATAGTGGATTAAAAGTGTTTTGCATATTTTTTTTAAAATTAAAATTTTTTAAATTAGAAGGAATAAAAAAACCTTATTATTTTTTTTTTCATTTTAAAATCGTACCGTATCAGTAATAAAACTGCTGGAGAGATAAAAATTAGTTCATAGTAAGAGGTAAAATTACGTTATGGAAAATCCATGGTAATTGGTCTAACAGTTCTTCTTGTCAAAGGGAATCAATCCCTTCAACATTTGCGATGGAAGGATTCTTTCATCAAATATCTACAAATAATTTTTTCATGTCTAATTAATTAAAGAATGTTGAAGTGGCTACTGAGTCTGACCCTCTAGATTTACATTACTTTTATCAATGATAATTCAAGAACTTTATGAAATTCTACTTTCAATAGAATAGAAGGAAGTAGTTTAAGATCCTGACTAATCAACAGTTAATTAACAATAAATTGCAGCCTCTTTGATGCAAGATAAAATGTCCCTATCAGTAGACACTTGACTTCTTATCTATTAGTTATAAAGCAATTACATCCTACCACAAATTATTTTAATTATATTTTAAAGCATTTTAACCCATCATTTTATGTAAATTTATAACACTGATTTCAATACCTATGAATATAAATGAAACAATTATTTTGTTCANGAAAATGTTCATCTAGTGTCCAACAGATGGCCTTCGGGTCTCAATAAGGAATTACAGAGAGTGTGTAAAATCCGTTTCCATAACCTGAAAGACAGACTGACTGTTTCTGCTATTTAGAAATTGTGTTCAAAAGTCCAGCCTTTTAGCTGTAAAGGCAGCATGCATTTTAAATGTGATAAATATGGGTTGCACGAAGAATAAGAGCTAAATTGAATTCAACAGAACATGTTCAGCATATTCATGATGTTGTAAATGTACAATATACCTACTATACATTTTTTATTAAATAATAATAAAGATTTTCAGCAAATATTCTTTATTTTAAAGCCTATAATCGAAATTTCAAATAAGAAATTTTCATGACAAAATTCATAAAATGAATGGTTAAGGAGTTTTTGCTAAAACTTAAATGTTTTTAAATCTCAACAAATCTTTTCACTAGAGTTAAGGTCATTTCAAAAGTGGTCCATGAAAAACATATTTCATAATTAAGCTATAAATAACATGAATGGTGAACCTTTTTCTTTAATCAGTGTGTCAATGAAACTATGATTTTGGTTTGGTTTGTTATTTTTAAGTGTACCACATATTGTACTTCGTTTTAAAACTCATTTTAAACCCTTGCTGTGATTTTAAGCTATCGAATTATGTTTTATTACTGCATTTGCTGGTTAGAGATTAACTTGTATCAGATATAAGTTGAATAAAAAATTTTTGAAAATATTTCAATTTAATATTAAACACGGCGATGCGGATTAATATTTGAAACAGAATTCAGGTTTGTCAAATTTTGAACGTTTTGTCTCAGAATGACGCAGGTTTGGCAGAAACTGAGCTGAATGTCGCAAAATGGCACAGTTATGCCGTTTTGTCTCAGTTTGTCGCAAATGGCGCAGGCGTAGCACCCCTAATATATCTAATTTGCACTTCAAGGATCTTACGATTTCAAACTATATATTTTCAATTTAAACTTTTCTTTGCAATTCTTAAGTTAAATCAGTTGATAGTGCTGCAAATGTTAAAAAAGCGTGAAATTACACAGTTAAATTGAACCCATAAATTAAGTAAATTCTTTTTTTTATATGAAAAATTAAATTTCATCTAAAAGTTCCTCAAATTTGAGAAGAATTTGTCTGCAACATAAAAAGTTTGTCCTATTGAGATTCTATTTCCTGTAACAACTTGCTCAGGGAATATTAACTCAGAGAACTTGCAATTTTTTAAAGCCCATCCAGACATAAACTTTAAGAATTCTAGTTAGAACAGACAAAAGATCATAAAATAAATGCATATTAACTTTTGCACACAATGGTACCAATGCTCACACTCGTTTCTGAATCTACCTTTGCTGTTGCCAGTCTTAAAGGGGTTTTTTTTTAAAAAATGTTTTGCAGTAAATGTAAGCAAATAAAGCAATTTATAGTACACTTGTTGTGTGCCACCATTACATCTGTACGCCTAGTGGCACCAGTGTCGTAGCTTTGCCATCTTTGTTTTATAGTGACCAGATTATAGTGCTATCAGAATGACAAAAAGTAGTCATCATAAAAGATCATACATAAGTGATTTTGTGATGTAACTTTTCAATGACTATAACCTAACTTGTAAATTTATCCACAAAATTTTTTGCACAACCTAAATAGAGAATTATAATTTTATGGAAAAAAATATACATGGTAATGAGATATTATTAAATTGCTTATTATAAAAGTTTATTAAAAAAAGGGTAATTAAAAAAATAATACATAAATTTAGTTCAATATCATAGTTTTTCATTCCCATACATAAGGAAGAGTGGGGAAAGATTGGTTAGCTATGATTCAAAGGGTGTTGGAGCTGAATTGCTCAACATAGAAACTGTCAGATATTAATTGTTTTGTTTTGTACAAGACAACACTCCTGAAAAGTCACACATGTACAACTTATGTTATAAACGATTTTTTTCTAGCAAAAATCAAATCACTCGGGAATTTAGATGGAATGGGAAATTTAGAAATAGGAGAATTTCAATGAAAAAGTAGCAGATATTTCCATTTTATAATGTAATTTAGGGAAATTATGCAAGCAATTTACATGTGATGTAGTCAAGACTGTACTCAAGGGAGGGGGAGAGGAACAATTGTCTCGGGGCACAAAACATCTGGGGTCCTGACCGAAATTCCTTACGAAAAATATAGCATTTTTTAAAGAGAAAATTGCAGGGAATATTTTATATCAAAACATAAACTACAATTTTGCATAAAGAGTCTTCAAAAACTACACAAATTATGAAAATAAAGTTTTTGTTCTTGGAAGAAGCAATAAACTTTGCTCTGGTACCCATGACATTCAAAAAACAAAAGAACATTAAAGTTGACATAACTTATTTACACAGATGCATTGAATTAATCAACAACAATATGATAGGTGGATCTTTAAGACTACTAAAGTGCAATTCAGAGTTTGCCCACTTAAAAACAAAATTAATTTTGACACAATCAAGGTACCCACTTTCACCCCACTATCGAGTCTTACACCACCCTTCCTTCATAATATTTAAAATAATAAAGGAATTGATACCTTAGATAACTGGATTAGAATGAATAATTATGCTGTTTTCTTTTCTTCTTTCATTTAGTTAAAACATATTGTTCCAAATATCACACAAAGCTTCAGAATAAGTCTGTAAACAATTCATTATTACAATTTAATAACAATCCAGTAAAAGAATAAATTAGCATAAAGACAATGAAGAAAGCACAAAAAGAACACTTTGAAAAATTATTAATCTGGTGAACAAATTTTCCCATACAAAGGTGCAATATTAGTTGATTTGAGAATATTGATGTAGTATCAAAATAAAGCATATTAGCATAAAAAAGTATCATTGCAACAAATACTATAAGACAAAGTTTAAATTAGAACATAATATTTTGAAAAGATATTCATAAATATTTTCTAGAAAGTTAGTTACAACTTCCTGCAGAAATTATTGATGAACACACTTTAAAATTAACTTCTTTCATTTTTATTTTTTTGAATAAAAATTGGCCTGCACTGCAATTTTTAACTTTGAACAAATTGGCAAATTATTAACACAGTTATTAATGTAACAATTTAATGATTAAAAGTATTAATCAACCTTAAAGTAAAAAAAAAAAAACAATCCAACTTTGTGTGAAGTGTTACGAATTTTTTTTTTTTAATGGTTTAGTGTAATGAGGTTAATTAAATAAATTGGCACAATCTTTAAATTAAACTCATTCAACTTTTTTTGCACAACCCGCTGAAAATTACAATTAAATAAATCTATTGTTTAAAACAGACTGAATGATCAATTAAGCAATTTTAAAAACGTTTCATGAAACCTTTTCTGAAAACGCAGCCTTCTCAGGTTTGCCTTCACAGTCGAAAAATTTTCCTAAGTCTGTTTGATAAAGAAGAACAGAATAGGGTCTAGAGCAGTGTTCCCCAACGTGGGGCCCACGCCCCACTGGGGGGCAATTTGATTGTTAAGGGGGGCATTTGGAAAATGGACTCTACACGAGTTTAACCCTTTTACTATTTTTTATTCATCGCTAAATCTGGAAAAAATCATACGACATGAGAGAATTTTAAAAAACCGTCAATATCAGCTTCACTTAAGACGGTTCTTGAAAAAGATGATAAAGCTGTAAAAGTTATGCCAAGTACTAAGTACTCAGTAACAATACTGTTAGCAGAAGAATACGCGAAATGAGTGAAGATATTGAA